GAAACAACATCTAAAACATTTTCGTCAAACTTCTTCGTTCAAAATCGATATCTCACTTGGTCAGCGCAACGAAGAATTACTTAGAAGAATTTGACGGTAATCACATCTCGTTGTCGTAGAGTGGTTGGAAAAAAGAATAGTTGTTCAATGTTTATTCTCGAAATATCATGCACAAAAAAGGTTAATAGATTTAAGGCCTGGTATCTACAATAGTGCTGGCTTAAAAATTTGCAAGTGAGTTTTTATATCAAATTACTCTCTCACAACGATTTCCGGAGAAGCCGAGGTTACAAATACAAGTGAATGAGGAAGTTGTGCCAAAGCAAATGCCTCGTCCATTGCAGTCGCGAGTCGAATCGCACACCGCTGCAAATTGAACATACAGGAAGATTTAAAATGGATTTGCAAACCAACTTTCTTCACAGCTGCTTCCTGAAAATCCTAGCTGACAAGCGCAGATATGCGTTTGCTTGGTGCCTATGCATGTTCCCCGATTGTTGCAGTCTACTGCTGTGCATGCGAGGCGCTGCAATCAAAATGCTTGAATATTAGTCACTATCCTGGAAAAGGCACTCTGAAGAATTCCATAAATAGGTTCAAATAGTTTCGAGCATCTACCACTCATTCATATAATCTTTGCTTCGTATTACAACTGTTTTAAACTTATAGCTGTACATCCATGAATCATGCCCATATTATCAATATTATCCTTCCACTTGTAACAAAATTATTCCAAGGAAACGAGGGACTTCATGTAGATTAATGTGAAGAAAGCACAATTAGTAGGTGCTAACAATGTGTATCGTAAACTCTCCATTGCCTGCCAACCACAATTTACTCGGATTTCAAAAACTTTGCTTTGAACATCGGAGACTCGCGTACTATTCGCAGAGCTGCAAAATTATTTCACAGAAAACATCATAAAAAGAGCCGGACTAACACACCTATTGAGTTGAATAGAAGGACTTTTTTGAAGAGAAACTTCAATTGAAAAATTTGGAGCTTCGGTCTTGAAACTAATTGTCTTACCTCAGAGAGATCAGCAACAGCATTTGTCAGCTTCTGGTTACCATCGACAACGGAACCGTTGAGATTTTTAACCTTAATAGCGCTATAGACTCAGAAAAGCTTGAGAAGGCAAGAACTCTATCGGCACTGATATTTGTGTAATCGATCCAAAATAACCAATATTTACCGCTTTGTCCAACTCTTTTTTTACTTCTTCAACCGTGTTTTGTTCGACAGATGCCGATTCGCCAGCAGCGTCCTTCTTATTCGCTTTGGTGACATTCGCTGATAGCTCGGTCGACTAAACATAGAAGGCCGAACGCGCTCCAAATAAAGATCTGATCTGCCAAATCCTTGTCACAGAATCTACGTATAGCATGTTCAAAAGAAAGAGCTTTTTGAATATGTGAACAATTGAAAGTTCCTAAATTCCCAGATCAAAAGGTGAGAGATGAGAGCTAATATTAAGACAATTAGAGTGGTCGCTTTTTTCATCAACTGCTGTTGTGTTTCATGAAGAAAATTTGCTCAGGACACATTTACTTAGGCTAATTCTTCTACCAACATAGTTCTTGACGCTATTTGCACCTTAAGATGAAGCTTTACGGGTTTAATGGAAAGCGTTTACACTCTATCACTAAACCGTTATCTTGTTCCATATCTTCGTT